TTTAACACTTTTAATACTTAACTACAACAAATATCACATACTTTAACACTTTTAATACTTAACTACAACAAATATCACATACTTTAACACTTTTACTACTTAACTACAACAAATATCACATACTTTAACACTTTTACTCAAGTTATATTCCTAAAGGAGACTTTAACTTTTACCAAAGTTATTTTAAGGTAAGATACTTGTACTTTTACTGAAGTATTACTTTGTGGTACTTTTTACAACACTGGTCCTCTCTAGCTCACCTTGTGAGTCGTCCTCCTCAGAGTGCTCAGGCGTCCAGGTGTTTCCTGAGGCGGACAGGTGTGTGTGGGAGCTGTTGGTCCGGCTGTAGGTGCTGAAGCCCTCCTGTGGAGCGAACGAGCAGATGTTTCTCCTCCTGTAGGTGCAGCTGAACAGGTAACAGCTCAGGCTGTCTCCGGCCCGCCGCTGCTCCTCCTGCACCACCGCCACCGTGCAGTGGGGCTGTGCGCAGCACGCGTGCACACAGTCCCTCCAGGTGTACACCCTGTCCGGGGCCAGCAGGAAGGTGGCCCCCTGCTCGATGGAGGCCTTCGTCCGGATGATGCGCTCCCCCACGGAGCTGAAGTCGCCCACGCAGGCGTCCGTCACCTCGGCCTGCCGGAGCGCCTGGTCCTGCTGCAGCTGCTGTCTGAAGTCCTCCAGGAGCTCCTCCACTCCGGACAGTTTGGACTTCAGGTCTGAAATCTGCGAGGAGCGGCCGAGAATGAGGCCAGCAGAGGCGAGCAGCAGCAGCAGCAGCAGAGCGGCCATGTTGGCTTGATTCAAGCCGCGGACACCTGTCTGCCTCCGGGCCGGGCTCCCGGTCCCTGACGGTCCCTGACGGTCCTGTCAGCCCCGGACACCCACCGTGTTGCTGCTCACACAGTTTCACAGCCAAAGCGCCTCTACACTCAGACCCACGGTTGTTTGTCTGCGAGTGATGCTGAAAATGTCGTTGTCATGGTAAGAGAGGGAGGGAGGGGCCAGAGCATAAAGCGTGACGTCACCGAGGAGGACACCTGCTCTGACGTTTGTTATTGTTTTAATGTTTCTTCTTTTTGTTACTGAGGTTTAACTCTTTCAATATTGTGTCTTTGAATGTCAGAGGTATTAGGGACATAACTAAAGAAAGCTTTTATTTTCGTTTTGTCGAAGAATGGAGTCGGATATAATTCAATTCAATTCAAAATATTTATTCATTTTATTATAAAATAACTATATACAATAAAAAACAAAGAAAATACACAAATCAAAAT